ATCAATATAATAACCTCCATTGAGGTTGGCTGCATCAAATCGCGCATGTGCCTGGAGGTACCCTTTTATTGTGTCATATTCTCCAACAACGAAAACTCTTTAATCTTGTCCGGTTTTCTCCAGCTAGAACGGTGGACTACTTTGCCAGTCTTTCCACGAACTAACGCAAAGAAATCAACCAAAATTTCATGTCCGTAGTAAAGTATACAAAATATGTCGGCTTCGAGAAAGGAATATGTCGGCTGCCCTGGGTAGTCAACGCCGTAAAACTGTGGATGATTGCGCTTTTCGCACAAAAGCACCAGCGACGAAGGGTGGCCGGATTTGTGTGGTTCATTCCACGTTCAAGCTTAGAGTAAACAGAGTTTTTGAAAAGGCGGTACAAAGCTTAGGGCTTTCCATTACTGTGTTGCAACGCATTTATTGAAGGGCGGTAGAGCGTTAACAACGTTTTGTTGAAACGATAGCGTCCTTTAAGCGCTGCAATGCGAAGTTCAAATGCCATAGAGAAAAGCCAGGGTAAGCTATTGGTGCCGAGCCTCTTGACGGCAATAGGAAATAATTATAGCCTGCATAAACCACAAATAATTTCAGGTTCCATTCTGCGCCACATCGGCTGCCACACAAAGAACTGCAGAATGGAAGATCTTTGCAATATTTTTTCCAAGTGAAGCACTGCAGCCATGAAACGTGAGGAAATTAGGAAGAAGGAATTGTATTCCGAAATGTTCCAAGGTTTCATCAACTTGCTTTGCAATGCCACCCCATTGCAACACAACGTGAGACATGCGCATTTCTTCCCCAAGCTTCTATCACGTGAATATTACTGCCTCGATGCCCTGGCCGATTTTCGTCAACTCGGGGCTGGTATTTAGGACACAATTGTGGCAAGCCGGTTAGACGCTAGCAATTTGGGAATAGTCTGATGGAGATGCAAGAGGGTGGGGCTTCTCATCTTTTACTGTGGTCCAGGAGCGCGGGTGAGCGCAATGCGCTGGGCCAGTGTGTGCTTGGGTCCCTGATCGACTTAACATCAATGTTGCAGTCCTTTTGTTGCAAAATTTGTCGCGGTCAAGAGGAATAGCGATGTGAGCTTAGGATATTGAAATTGTAATTGCACGATCGGCAACATCGGTATGACACAATAGAGCAAAAAGTGCGGCGATAGACGCGGAACGTAACTTCTTTGCAATCTAACGTCCAAACCTGTTTTGCCATTGTTGAAAACGTCAAATCTCTCTGAGTTACGCAACAAATCAAAAATTTCGCTGGCATTTCAGCAGTAATTCTGCCTTTGGAAACTTGCTTTGGCTCAGGAAACGTTCCTCACTATAACCGCGCAGCGTTCCGAAGGCAATAAGCAATGCTTAGTGAATTTTCTAGAAAGTGCTTGAGCCCCACTACAGTGATTTTGCCTCCTTGGCCAGTCTGCTCATGAAATTGAGCACTATGCCGTGGACTTTCACGGATTATGTGACCCTGCGTGAAATTGGGCATTCCCCGTCATTCTTCGGAATCTGCTGCCAATTTTGCAGCGTCCTTTCTCGCTTCTCAGCACCACCGTGCGTCCTTCCACGCCAAATTGATCTGCGGTGTTGTGCCACTCACTCAGTCACGCACCGCTCGATGTTGAGCAGCAACAACGAAGTCAATGCATGCCTGCAACAACCCTTACGGTACAGCCCTGCGATCTTCCTGCCCAATGGCAGGCTGAACATGTAATTACAATTACATATTCAGAACGTCACAATCGTGACAAAATGTCCACCTGATCCAATTCCAATACAAACACCAATTCGTCACCATCCCACAGAAACACCTATTTGTCCATGTATCCAAATTCGGGTATTTCACCCGCAATCCAAAGAGTGCCTTTTCTGGTCCCAAATGTTCATCTCGAGCGATGTCCCAACGATATCAAAAAACAACCCAAACAACCAAGGAGAGGGCGGGCGGGGAGAAAACAAAGTGCAGCCTGACGGCGCGTCGCCTCCTAAGGCCTCGGCGCCGCCGGTAACAGGCCCCGATCAAGCCAAAACCGGCCCCAAGGACCGTGGCCGCCCTTGGGGCCCCAGAACCAGACTGTTCCCGCCCAAACTGGGCGCCCCGCTGACAGGACACAGTCGGGGCAGCAATTTTTTCGCCCGCCCATCTTCGGGCCTCCCGTAAACTAGCTTACTAAACGTAACCACCCCGACAAACGACGAATTACCACTTGACCAACGAGCCAAATGCTCCACCAAAAACATCCACATCAGACGTTGGTGGTTGCTTCCACGCTCCAATCTACGCATGACCGTTCCCAAGCACGTGGCGTGTACTGCTTGTCCTGGCGTGCGCCCCTCCTCATGCCTCAGGGCCGTGGCCGTCCGTACATAGCCGGCGCCAGTCCGCCTGTGAGTGGCTGGACCTTTCGACTGACCTCCTCGGGGCCGCTTGCCTGCAGCCCCCTCCACGCCCAAGCGGCACACCCTGCGGTTTCGCAAGCGCCTGAAAGCGCGACCAAAGTGCGTTCGCGCCCCACCCCGTCCCCCCCGCCGCCCCGTCCCAACTCTTCGCCGCGGATCGCGACAGAGGGCCGCGTCTCCGCAACCAGGCTCACGATGGGCGCTTTCCTTTCCTTGCTTCTAGATTGGAGGGCCCCGAGGCGGCGCATCGCGGACATCTGCAACGCGTTTTGCGGGAGGCGCCGCAGAGTGACCGGCCCGGCGGCGCCCAAGGCGGCAGGTGGGCTTTTGAGTTCCGCATGGATCCGCCAGGTGGGCGGAATCTGAGCAAGCTGGGAAGCCGGGGGCCGGGCGTTGTGGCATGGCGCTGGCGGCGTGGGCGCGGCCGCGGGTTGCGCGTGTCGCCACGACTGCAGTGGGCGATGGGCGACGGCTGCGCCCGTGGGCGAAGCGCGCGGCGGGGCGCCGAAAGCCAGCGCCGATGGGCGGTCGCGTCATCGCGGAAGATAGGGGCCGGAGATGAATGATGTTCCGCGAATGGAGTCATTCCAGTCATTCATTCTCGTTGGGTTGGAATCGGGCATCGGCTGCTATCACGAATTGACGAGGCCGCACTTTTCCGCGGCTCTGACAGGTTCCGATAATGTCGCCAGAATGTCACATGGCCAAATTGCCACTGTCCCGGTGTCAGTGGATGAGATTGAATTCGGCTACCTCCTTGACTCGTTATGTAAAATAAAACATCATCATCATCATTATCATTATTTTTACAGAACAAGGCAATGAGGTAGCCGTCAGCTTCCTATTTTGCCTGAGCAAAGCAGAGTCGGTGATCGGTTCGTTGAAATCTAATGTGAAACACAAACTAAATCTACGAGTCTATTAACTCGCGATGCCCAGACGCGATTGTCGATGATAATACATCGAACGAAGTGTCCTCGCCAGTTGGTGAGCGGGAACCGAAGCAAAAAGTGTTTTGCATTGCGACATGGAAAAATATGAGAGTGGCTTCGATGGACATTGTCATAGGCTTTCCAGTGGAAGATAGAATGTATCTCATCTTCAGGAGCCTTCAGTAAAGTGATTGATGGTCGGATGCAATTCGGATGCGGTACGACGCTGGTAATGGCGTTCAAGTGGCGCCTTTGCAGCGTATGATGCATGTGTTGGCAGAACAGCGCAGGGGTTTGTAACACTGGATTTTGAGATACTCATGCAGGTGCCATGCTCTAAAGTAGAGAACGCCCGAATTAGCCGGAAATTCCGTAGAGAATGGCCCTTTTGGAACTGTGGTTGCCACTCCCCTTGTGCTTGACCGCCTTGGGCATCTTACAATAGCGGATTCCTGTTGTCTTCTTTCCTTTTCTGTGGCTCTCTTTCTCGGACTGGTGGAAATCAGTTGAGATGCAGACGAGAATTATGCCCCAAACTACAACAGCGTAGGGAAGGGGGGGTTTTCGTCTCAGACTTTTGGTCACCACCTGTTGCTTGGAAAGCATGAAGCCAGACAAAGGAGGATGTTGGTGGCAATGAAGAAATCAGTGGACTGACATGTAGTTTCCTGCATTCTCCCTGTATAGAACTGCTGTGACCAAGTTCCACTGTGAATACCTTTTCTAACTTTAGTCTGTCCCCTGTCCTTTTATCAATTTGCAGTGATCGTCACATTCACCTGTTGACCAGAGATTTTGCCCATCAAATAGGTGTGGTCTCGTACATTGACAACATATTGTTGTTCAACTTTAGTGACTGTACATGTTGTATATAACTGCAGGCAGGCCAATGCGTCTCCTTGTCAGTAATCGAGGAGAGATTGCTGAGCGAATTGTGCGAACATGTAATCGATTGGGCATCGAGACTGTGGCAGTCTACACAGAGCCAGATGCTCTGTCTCCTCATGTTCTCAGAGCCACAGAATCGGTGTATCTGAAGGGTGGCCCTGGTTGCTACATGCTGGGACCAAGGCTTGTGAAGATTGCCAAAGAGATGGGTTGCCAAGCAGTGCATCCAGGTTACGGCTTCTTGAGTGAAAATGTGGAATTTGCAACACAGTGTGAAGAAGCAGGGATCACCTTTTTGGGCCCAACAACGGGTAAGGATGTTCGCAGCATGGAAGTTTTGCCAAGTGGTAGTGCTGATTTTTGCGCTAGATATTGGGTGCTAGGAGCTGAAAGGTCCATGACTCCCTGTGCCGGTGGATCTGATGTGCTGCAATTGAATCTGCCAAACGAATGGTGCTTTGGTTTCACGCTTCTGCCTGTGGACGAGACAGGGTGGAACAGTGTTATGGAACATCATATCTATCATTGCCTTGCTGGTGCCCATTCAGTGCCTTGTCACTTTACCTGAATGTTATCAAATGGATGTGTCCACACCTGTGCAGATACGATGAATGTGTTCTCTGAGAAGCACATTGCCAAGCAGCTCGCCCAGGAGAACTCTGTGCCCACCCTGTCTGGCAGTGGATTGTTGACATCTGCTGAAGAGGCAGTGGCCTCAGCACAGGCTGTTGGATTCCCTGTGTTGCTGAAAGCCACAGGGGGCGGCGGGGGCATGGGCATATACTTGTGTTACACGGAAGAGGAACTCGTGTCCAAATTTGAAACAGCAGCAAAGCAGGGAGAAGCGTTTTTTGGCAATGCTGGGGTGAGTTGCCTGGTAGCCTCGAAATGAAGCATTGGCTGAATTCACATGTTCACTGCTGCAGCATTAAAATGAGACATTAGTCATGGCATGCGACCTTATTGAAGTGTGATCAATGGACAGCACCTGTTTGTCCAGAGGGCCACAAGTAACTCACTGTGCTTGGCAAATGAGCTCCCAAACACCCACACCAAAACAGGCACTGCTCTTGAACAGCAAACGACCCGCAGGCACCCAGAATTGTTCAGCTCCACAGACTGCTATAAGCTGTTTATCTGCCCTGCTGACAACTCGATCAGCCACCCAGCCACACAAAGGAGCTCCCCATATAAGTGCCTAACACGTTTGGAAATCACCACATCTCCACAGTTCCCAACGGTGAGGAAAATTAGTGTGTTGAGACAGGCTATATAAAATGGTCCTGGTCAATGCACCCATGCGCTAATCCAGATGAGCAACTGTGTGATATGAAGTTTGTGTGAGGGGTTACATGCTCCAGAATTTTGGTAGACTATCGTTGGCTGCTTTGCACAAGCCTGGTTGCATAATGCTCAGTACTACGCCTATACGCTTGCACATGTTTGGTGGCGCATGGATTTTCCTGGCTGTTGTAGCGACAATGAGACTAAAATGCATCATTCCTGCACAGGTCTTTGTTGAGAAGTACGTCCAGCATGCCCATCATGTTGAGGTTCAAATCTTTGGAGATGGCAAAGGGTGTGTGGTGCACCTTGGTGAGAGAGAGTGTTCAATACAAAGACGCCACCAGAAAATCCTTGAAGAGACTCCATCCGTTCTAGTGACGGAGGACATTCGAGAGCGATTGACTGCAGCAGCTGTACGGCTGTGCTCAGCAGTGAAATATCGATCAGCAGGAACAGGTGAGTACAGGCGTGGATGAAAGCGTTGGCTCACTGCCTGGTTGGAGTTTCTCCAATTTCTGCCCCTCGTACCAACACAATGGTGTGTTTGTTTACCACCAACTGGATTGTCACACCATAATAGCGGATCGCCTTCTTTGGCTCAAGTTGTCACAGCTTATTGGCCAGTGCAAGGGCATATGGCTGTTGCAGATCAGAGAATCTTGATCTATGTGGATGCAAATGCGCCTTAATCAGAAAATTGAAATATGCCCTTGCAAATTGAAATACGCCCTTGCAAATTGAAATATGCCCTTTCTAGCATGGAACCACAACGAGGTTATGTCATGTGTATCCTAGTGTTGATCTGAGGATATCCTCTTTGGTCGTTCATGCCAAAAGGGTTCAATTGTTTTCAACAGCATTGCTGCATTCTTGTTGGATAGTGCAACCACATGGAGATTTTGCACCTTGTTGTGAATGTCCCTGGATTCCAGTAGGGGGTGGCTGTTTCTGGACGACCAAATGTTGGGGACAAGATCACCAGCAATACCAAATGCTGCTGTATATGCAACCCTTCCACATAATAACATAACGATTGGCCTTTTGCAGAGAAAACAGTAAAATAAATTACGCTCTTTCAATGGAGTTTTTCGGGGGCAATGTAAAAGAACTAAAAATAACGCTCTGAAAAACAATGCAGAGCGAAAGCTGTAATAATAAACTATTTGGATGCAGAATACTACGGTGGTTGAGAAGCTTGTGTGTGCTTTTGTGTGTGTATAGTCGAATTCTTGGTGGACTCTGACACAAAAGAGTTCTACTTCCTTGAGGTCAATACAAGGCTGCAGGTGCGTGTTGGGGCAATTGGGAAATCTGTAAGGGCTTTGAGCATCACATCATTGTCTAAAATGGCCCAATGGAGGGCAAAAGGCAGCTAAGAGACTTGCCAGAAATTTTAAGCTTGTTTGACAGCCGTCTCTTTGGCAGTGCGTTGTCTTGCACCAGCCTAGAATCATGCTCCACGCAATAGCTCCTACAGTCAGCTCCCTACAGTTTGATGTTTGTGGCATTGTCAAACGAATGTATCGCAAGGGCAGCAGGAGAAAATGGAAGGAGGTTCAGCTGAGGTGATTGAATCCTTGTCCGGTCAGAAACAACCAGAGAGGGTTAGGGGGCTGTCCAAGTTTGTTGTTCAAGGTTTAGGATGCTCTGGCAAAAGGCTGTAGGGGCTGTGTCCCTTTGTTGCTGCCATTCTGGTGTTTGAGTAGCTGTGGCTCAACTTGGCATTTTGATTTGTGGGCTGGTTCAACATTCTCCCGGTGGGTTATGTTGAACCTCAACTGGCTCTGTTCCTGCCTTGCAACTTGTGGACAACGTTTTCCTGAATTTGGAGCACCTTCAAAATCTGTACCTAAAGAAACTGGGTTTGTGTAACGGTCTGACTGCACCACAGCTACTGGTAATGCTGTGAAACAGGAAAACCTGTGAGCATTGGGCAGCAGTTCAGTGCAATGCGCACATGCATCCCTTGGACAATAAAAGTGTGCTCAAATCGTTTGTATAATGCTATCATTCAATTGTGATGCTCTCTGCATATTTGCAGGTTGAACATGGCATTACTGAAATGGTCAATGGTGGTGTCGACCTTGTGGAATGGATGCTGAGAGTGCAGCTTGAGGACCTCCCCGCTGCAGATTTCAGTCCGAAGACCGACTTATCGTCATTCACGTCTCGTCGTTCAGGTTGGGCAATCGAGGTCCGTGTTTGTGCAGAGGACCCTACAAAGGACTTCACTCCTTCGCCAGGTGTCCTTGGGCAGGTTGCTTTCCCTGAAGACCTCCCTGGAGTCAGGGTAGACACTTGGATTGAGACAGGGACTGCAGTTTCAACCTTTTATGACTCGCTGCTTGGCAAGGTAATGGTTCATGCAGACACAAGGGAGGCTGCCATCAGCATGCTCGAAACAGCACTTGCACAGACACACATCAAGGGCATCCCAACCAACCTGGGCTTTTTGAGGTCACTCATCGCTTCAGAGAAGTTCAAGTCGGGCAACACGACGACCCGATTCCTAGAAGACTTTGAAATGGTGCCAGACCAGATTGAGGTGTTGGATGCTGGGATGCAGACCACAGTCCAGGACTATCCTGGCCGTGTTGGTCTGTGGCACGTTGGCGTGCCCCCCTCTGGTGCGATGGACGACTTTTCTTTCCAGCTGGCCAATGCCCTGGTGGGAAATGACTCCAAAGCAGCGGGACTGGAGTTCACATTGAAAGGACCAACTCTGAAATTCACGTAAGTGGGCATGCTGGCATTGAAGTGCCTGCTGTTGGTGTTCCTTTGTCGGCTCACAGATGTTGTGTTTTTGGGCTTGATTTGCATTAAATGGGTTTGGAATCTTATGGAAACTGCCCCTGCAGGTGCGACTCTCTGATTGCATTGACGGGGGCTCACTTTGAAGCCTTGCTGGACGAGGTGCCCGTCCCTTGGTGGACCAGTGTGAAGGTGCAAGCAGGGCAGGTGCTGCGGGTCAAGGGTACTGATGGGGACAACGGGGTTCGAGGGTACTTGGCTGTCTGGGGCGGTCTTGATGTTCCGGACTACCTGGGCAGCAAGTCCACCTTTCCTGGTGGCAACCTTGGGGGCCATCAAGGCAGGGCTCTGAGGGTTGGTGATACTATCAACATACAGCCAGTCGCTGCAGGCCTTTGTGATGGGGTGGCTGTGCCCCTTGACTGGAGGCCTGAATTGCCTGGGTTGGGAAAGCCTTGGGAAGTGCAGGTTCTGCCAGGGCCACAAGCTGCTCCTGACTACTTTGTTGAGGAGGATATCAAGGACCTTTACAACACGCAGTATGTGGTGCATTACAACAGCAACCGCTTGGGTGTCAGATTTCAAGGACCCCGGCCACGTTGGGCAAGGAAGGACGGGGGAGAGGGTGGCTCACACCCCTCGAACGTGCATGATCATGTGTATGCCATCGGCACCATCAACTATACGGGAGACATGCCCATCGTGCTGACGTGTGATGGCCCCAGCCTGGGAGGCTTTGTGTGCCCAGCAACGATTATCTCCACAGAGCTCTGGAAGATGGGCCAGGTCAGAATAGTCTGAGCATGCAGCTTGCTGCTTTACTTTTTCACAGTTGTTCCCTCCTAGACCTGCAGCTTGCTCGATCTGGAAGATGCCAAAGTGGTGCCACAAGTATGCGTGTCCATGAAGATGTTGGGAGAGTGAGGCTGCTTAGAATTGCCATTTGCTGCTTGCGCTGGAACACAAAGAACTTTCCTGCTGGGCTGCCATATCAAGGAGTGAACAGTCGTCGTTTTGGTTGTGTAGGTTCGACCCAATGATGCAGTTGTCTGGTGTCAGACAACTCTGGAATCTGCATACTCCAAGTGCCGAAAGAGAAAGCTGATGATGCGGCTGCTTTGCTCAGTGGCGCAAGGGAAGGCATCAGTTGATGATGCCGTTGCAGAGCTCTCAGGGGCAGAGTTCGACGTTCCTGAAATGCCAGAGGCCAAGGCTGTGCTAAAAAGGCTGTCCCAATGGTGCCACCCTGGTGCTCAGTACAGACTGGCAGGGGATAGGTATGTGCTGGTGGAGTACGGACCAATGGAGCTGGATATCAACCTTCGTGTGCGGGTGCACATGCTGGAGAAATGGCTTGCAGACCGCAAGGTAGGCTGCTCTGGGATGGCAAGCATGAAATTCGCTGTTTGGTCGTCTGTTTAGTGCTCCTTTTTGTGGAGAATCCTGTGGTCTTCAACACAGGATTACTTTTGCAACTTCAAGCGTGATACCCCTTTTTGTCTGTGCTGTGTACAACATTCTTCTGCTTAATGATCAACGACTTCTTATATCGGGGGAAATTGCATTCATTTGTTTCAACTCCACTGATAACGTTTCAAAGTTCACATCGGAATGCCTAAAACACCGCCTCAGCTTCCTGCCCAGCACGAGGCACCAAACAGCTGATCTTCACAAACATGGTCATGGCATTTACTTGAGAGTTTGTGTGGGTGGAAGGACGTGTTACTTATGCTCCAATTTTGTGCGACCACTGTGAACCTATCGAGTTGCCTTCAAACTACTGCGTGTGCAAGGTTGAGGGACTGGTGGAGACCAACCCAGGCGTGCGCTCCTGCATGATTGAGTACGACCAGGTGAAGCTTCCTCTTTCCAGCCTGCTGAGCCTGTTGGATGAGGCAGAATCAGCGTTGCCAGATGTTCATAACCTTGAGCTTCCTGTCCGTGTTCTGCACCTCCCCATGGCGTTCAATGAGAAATGGACCCATGAGGCAATCCACAAATACACCAGGTGAGCACTTTTTGGCTTCACTGGTGAAAACCAGACTGATGTTGTGACACAGGATGCTGAGCGCTGGAGGATCTCCCTTGTTGTATGTCTTGTTCTGACTTGAGCAGTGCTGAGCACATTGTGTGGTTGCCACCTTGCTTATGCTAAATCAAATTTTATGCTCTCCAGGAGATGGTGTTGTGACATTCGAGTTGTGCAGGGTGTATATGGGACCTTTATTGTTTTGGGGTGTGCTGTGTCCGAGCAAAACAAATCTGAGTGCGCATTCATGCTTTCTAAGATCCCGCGTGTGCTCCTTGTGTTCATCTGTTCTGTAGGTCTGTGAGGAACGATGCACCGTACCTGCCCAGCAATGTTGATTTCGTTGCAAGGAACAATGGTCTGGATGGCGCTGATGATGTGAAGTCCATTGTCATGGGTGCCAGTTACATGGTGCTGGGACTAGGTGATGTGTACTTGGGAGCACCATGTGCAGTTCCTGTTGACCCCCGGCACAGGCTTGTGGTGCCGAAGTACAACCCGGCAAGGACATTCACACCAGAAGGGGCTGTGGGCATTGGCGGGTCGTACATGTGCATCTACCCAATGAGCTCTCCAGGTAGGCATCACCAAGTCACGTTGTTGTCAGTTCCTTTTGTCATTGGAGCTGTCCAAAAGGTGAGCAAAATAATGTGCGTGCAACTGTAGGTCAAGACAGGATTAGTTTCGCACACCAGAATGTTCACAATGTGTTCGTTAATGCTGTGTTGTTGCAGGAAATATTACTTTCGGGAGTGCTAGGTGTATGTGCATGGTCGTGTTCAGCAAACAAGTAGTACATTGCAAGTCAATCTTCATTCCAGTCCTGAAGCGGCCTCCCTTGTGCCATTGATTATGCTGGATCAGCAGCTATAGATGCTGGAGCAGCAACGATTGGTGCTGGCAGGGAGGCACAATACATAGATGTCAGTTGAAATAGGCCATGAGGCCTAAAAGGCAACCATGAATTGCAAATTAACACTGTTGTGAATTTAGTGAAGATGCAGCTGGTCTGCAATACGGTGGCCGTTTTAGTTTCGCAGGATCTTGCTGTGTGTGCTTGATGAATACATTTTGCTTTGCAGTTATAACTGAATGTTGATTTTATGGGGGTCCTCTGTCCAAGCTTGGATACTATTAGAGACTTGGTTCAATCCACCAGCAACCTGTGTGGGCGCAGCAACCTGTGTGGATCGCTGTGTGGCAACACTATTCGCCGGTATGCACAATCTTGAAGATGATCCAAAATGTCTCCGTGTCCATCTTGCTGTGTGGATGTGTTACCCACAAGCGCAGACGATGGTAAGTGCTGGCAGCACTGCCATCAATGTCCCCACCAACACTGGGCTGGGACCCCAGAGTAAATGCAGGCGGGCGGCAGTGTTGCTGACATGCAATCATCGTGGCTGCTGCACGCAGGAGGATACCAACTCGTTGGTCGCACTCTGCCCATCTGGAACACGTTTGGACGCATTGAGCCGTTTAACACAGCCAAGCCCTGGCTGCTCGAAATCTTTGATCAGGTTCGCCCTGCGGATTGAATCCTTTGGTGCGAATTCATCAGGGCAGACCGGCACCCCAATGTTTGTAAGGCGTCTTGATTCAGATTCGGCACCAATCAGCCCTCCAGGGGCATTGGAGTCCACCCTCAAGACTAGGTGTGGGGGTGGAAGTCTTGCTGGTTATTGTGAGGTCATTGTAGACTGCCAGCAGAGGGACGCCGTTTGACTATCTGAGTTCAGCAGAGATGCGCGACGTGACCAATGTGTCGATTTCTCACGTTGCCTGTAAGGATTTTCACTCACCTACTCGCTCAGGACTCTTGGTGATTGTGCAGGTCCGTTTCTATGAGGTGACGGAAGACGAGCTCGAGCAGGCACGTTTTGAGTTCGCCGCTGGCCAAGCCAAAATCAAGATCGAGGAGGAGGTGTTCAAAATGAAGGAGTACAACGAAATGGTGGAAAGCGTTAAGGAGGAGACCAGCGCCATGCGCGCCAAGCAGCGCGCTGCGATGGCTGTCCAAATGGATCTCGATGCCCAGAGCCTGAAGAGGCTGAACGAAGCGGAGACGAGCAAATCGTCCATGGCGTCCATGGGCGCCTCAGATCTTGCCAATTTCGACGACGACGACAAGTATGTGAAGGTGAGAAAGTCATGTGTGGAATCAGCTGCAGGAAAGCAGACGTTGCGTGCAGACCATTCGAATACGACCCTCCGTTTTGACACCGGCCGCTTGCCCCCGCTTATTTGAGTAGTGGCATTGGGGGGTCACGGGGCAAATGTAGCGTGACTGCAAACATGGACGCCTGGTTCTTGATGACGTTCCGTGCGTAGCTCGGTCCCCACGTTAACCACCCCTGAAGCCACAAGTACCATGTGGAAGGCAGTGATGAAGCCCAGGCGCCATGCTTCCATGACGGTTGCATTCGTGAGGTACATCGGGTTGGAAGAATTTGTGCGAGCTTCTGCATGGACACTGGACTGTTGCCAGAGTGCACGGGCCCATCGCCGAAGGCTCCTGTTCGATTGCAAGCGCCTCGTGGCGCCTGGCACCCCGCTTGACTGATCCCCGTAGTTAACCAGCAAATCCCAGCAAGCCACACGAGCTGACTGTGTGTTTCCGTTGCAGGTTTTGTCACGCGTGATGGGCAACATTTGGGATATATTGGTGAAAGAGGGCGACAAGGTGGACGTCGGTCAGACCGTCATTGTTCTCGAGGCCATGAAGATGGAGTACGCCATAACGACGCCGTCCGCAGGGACTGTGAGGGCTATTACCGTGGAGCGCTCTCAGCTTGCTGAGCAGGGAACCACGCTTGTCGTTGTTGAAGTGTGACCATGTCCCTGTAGCAGGGTCCCGGCTGGAGTGTTGTACCAAAGGACCTTGGACTGTTGCCTGTTTATGTCCTGTGGGATTTTGTGCGTTGCAGAGCGACCTTCCAGAGCGACAGAGCAATGTGGCATCGTCGGTGTGATGTTTGTCGGCTTGGTTAGGCCGCTGGTATTCAGGCCAGCGAATCCTGTGGTGGGGGAACTCCTATTTTGACCAATTTTTATGGAGTGTATAATGAGCCATGGCCAGTGTACGTTGTTGTGAAATCCTGTGAGAGTTGTTGTGAAACGAGGGCATGTGTAATGCTTTTGTCTGGTGATAAAATCATCTCGTTCATGTGCCATCCAAAAATGGCGCTTGACAAATCCACGCTGGCGGAATGATACCCGTGGCACACGTAGAGCCGCCGTAGGACTTGCGGCATGGAGGAGCACGCAAGGAGCTGTCTATGTGGTAAATAGAGTGAACAGAAAACAGCACGGATCCGCTCCCAAGGTTCTGACGATCTCGATGTTCGTTCATCGGCAAGTTATGCACGGCAATGCGTCGTCAGCATGAGGGCCACCAGCCCTCCTTGGACTGCACGCAATGAAACGTCCGCGGACTTAAACGAGCAGCAACAACCCTTCCTCGAGTCGTACCGCGGCTATGCAGTCCCCCGACGACCCCTCCGCGGACTTAAACGAGCAGCAACAACCCTTCCTCGAGTCGTACCGCGGCTATGCAGTCCCCCGACGACCCCTCCGCACGCGGCCCCCTCCTCGACGCTCCCAGGTCCTACTCCCCGTCTTCTTCCGCGCAGGCGCAGGCGGACGGACGCCCCACCAGCCCAGCCGTCTCCGCCACCGTCACGGCCGTCCGCCAGGCCTCGCCCAGCGTCCGCATCCTGGACCTCAAGGTCACGGATCCGCGCTTCGCCTTCGCCCCCGGCCAGTGGGTAGACTTCTTCATCACGGGCGTGGACGCCGTGGGGGGCTTCTCCATATGCTCATCCCCGCGGCTGATGGTCCAATCCGGGGCCATTCAGCTCGCGATCAAGAACAGCGGCGAGCCGCCCGCTGCCTGGGTGCACTCGGGGGAGTGCGTCCCCGGCGCGGTCGTGAGCGTCAAGGTCGGGGGCTCATTTCGGTACGACAATCCGGAGTTTCTGCCGGTCCTGTTGGTGGCCGGGGGGATCGGCATCAGCCCTCTGATGTCCATGGTGCGCCACATTCTCGGCGCGCCGGACCCCGTGCCCTGCACTCTGCTGTACTGCGCCAGCAGCGAGGCGGAGCTGGTGTTCAGGGATGAGCTGGAGAAGATCGCGAGTGGGGCCGATGGGGTTTTCAGATTTGTGCCCATGGTCACGCGGGGCGCGGGCGGTGGGGGGCGCGTGTCCAGGGCGGTCCTTGCCCGGCACCTGCCCAGCCCCAGCGGGACGCGCTGCTTCCTGTGCGGCCCGCCGGGCATGAGCGACGGGGTGATGGGGTGGTTGAGGGAACTTGGGGTGCCTGGCAACAGGATCCGTTACGAAAAGTGGTGGTAGGACTTTGGCAGGAAGCGGGTCTTGGGCACTGGTTTCGTCGTGTTTGGTGGCGCAGCCGGCTGCGATTTGGTCCCAGTTTCTGCCGAGTTGTGCGCATGTCTTTGCAAATTAATCGCCGCTTGGCGAGGCGGTTGTTTGGCGCGTGGTGCACTTGGCATTTGGCATGCGTCCACACACATTCCAATGAGCAGGCGGCTGTTTCACTGAAACCACCAGTTTTCACCAGAACTGGATTCACGGCTCTGTGTTTGAGGTTGAAGCTGCGATGTGCAAAAAGGCAATTACCGAGAGATCCCATCTGTTCATGCTCATGATGCCTGGTTGTAGTCAACCACACAAGGGAGCACGTCTTTCTATTCGACGAGCATTGTCTCCTCGAATCGTAGGTAGTGAGCAGCTGCGAAAGGTCTTCAGTTTCTGTGCAACCTTGAACTTTTCCTTGGGATCTTTGATGCATGGTGAGCCGACCAAATGAGCACATCTTGAGGCCGCGCAGCTGTGGCGTGGCAGTGGCGCTTACTCTCATCAGGCCCATCTGTTTGGTGCTGTGGAGCCAATGGACTGTTGTAAGGCGGTTCTGACGTCATGTCAGACCACCTGGAGTGCACAGAGGACAAAAGTCGTCGAGTTCGCCCTTCACACGCTTGGCTCAATCGGTAGAGAGCTGCAGGGTGTTTCTGCAATTGATGCTTACGACTCTGTGTCGATCAACTGGTCATCAAAACGTTTTGGAGCACAACCGTCACACAGAATGCAACGATTTGGGCACCCAATCCGACGATGGGTACCACAGCAAAGATCGCCACTCGATCCACAATAAAAAAAAACAGCAGGAAGACTCGCTGGGAGGCTGGACATGCAAAACGCATGCAAAAGTCCAGTCGCAATCAGTTGCCAAGTATGACGACTCACTGCACGAGCACAGCCAGGCCAAACGACTAGCCTCAACCCTTTGGGAGGATCCCTTGGGTCTTTTGCTCACTGAAACTCGCAGCCATAGAGCCGGCACAGCTGTTCAATGCCACCTCATGGTCCACACACCAGCACCCATGCATTCTCGCCAACCTCGATTGAGGTGGGTCCCAAATAGCCAAGTGCTTCAAATAACAAATGTGTCCTATATTGGACCTCGTTGAAACATCGTTCAAATCACTCCATGTCATTTCAAATCTTCCAAACATCTGTCATACGTGTTTCCAAGCTATCGCCAATGCACTCTTGTAATGCATTATACTTCACATTTGTAAATCATCGCCCAACAGTTTTTCATAGCCAGCGCCATTACTGACTGATTGTCCACAGTGCTCATAGCCATTTGTTATCCCTTACATCATCCTTATCTCAGCCCTCCCAAAACAACGCGTACCCAACTTCTTGACCGGGAGATGTAGGCAGCTTCGCCCACTCGCCTAGGTTATCCCCCACACATTTGATCACATTTTGATGGCATGCCATGACATGGCCAGAATATACATCCTGATCCAGCTCCGATGAGCAGATCTTGCACAGTTCGTTAGTTGATGCATGTGCAAGCTTCAAGACCACATCGGTAAGCTGCTCCAAATGGCCCCATTCATCATAAATCGACTTGCAAACGGATTCCAGCCATTCCAGAGCTGAATCCTTGTGTGTGGTGCCATCACCCATCGTCAACATGCAATTGAATGTCAGGGCACTCAGCCAAATCCGCATATCCAAATCTGCTTCTTGATATGCATGGTTTGCAGCTTCAAATCATCGCAGCTCACGCCCGTTTTTGCACCCTGCCACACTCCTTCTGGCGAAGTCGCACTCCATGGCACCATTTCTCAAGCGATTCAGCCGATGCCGCAGCCCCACACGACACAGTGCGTATTCCCATAGCAACACCACGACCCAACTGTCTGAAATGTCCCAAAATCCAAGTCCAATGATGCTTTGAACTGTCTTTTCAATCACCATGTTGTAATTCTCTTACTGTATACTGATCTGACGACGTTTCTTCATGTTATGTCGCCCCGCTCATGTCATCCTACTATTATCTCGTTATCCAATGAATCCTTACGAATACACATATGACTCAACAAACGTCACAACGTTATGCAGCTCTATCACCAGCCCCGACCCTGTGGCACCAGCCCTTGCGCACCTCAAGGGCCACTCCAGAGGGGGTATGCTTTCGTCCACTTGTAGTTCAAAGCCACCTTGAAGCCAATCTCGCACAGCCAATCTGGCTGCATTCTCATGCTCCCAGTTCTCGACCACCAGCGCCCATTTGAAATGGTCCTCTTGAGCGTGAATGACTTCCACGCCATCCTTTTCGCTCTCACAGCTGACATCGAGGTCTTCCAATCATTTGAGCCTCTTGTTGACTGCGTCCAAAGGAATGAACTTCTCCAGGCAGTCCTTTGACATTCCTCCTAGCAACCACATTGGCAGCCAAGGATGGTACCAACCTGTTCCCCGTCGATATCTTGGGGTTGGAGAGGTCGGCGCACGTCCACCTGGTTCGATTCGCGCATGCTCCAGTCGCCCATGCGAGTGGTACATGCTCCGCGTGCACCC